TTACTGTCTATACATTAGGTCCATCTGACATCCACCACTCCAATTATCTAATAAATCTAATTGATAAGCATAGAATTTGAAGAATTCCTGATGCAACAAACAACTTGCAATCATCCTTCCTCAGACTCCCAAGGGCTGAGATTACACACATGCACCACACAAGTGCAGGTTATATGCGAATCTCCGAGCTTCCCAAATGTTCTTTGCAAAATGTCTTCCAGGTTTCTAAGTTTATGTTAGCTCTTCCAGAAAAAATAATTTAATACGTTGTTTCCTCCTAGCCCTTACCCTCCAGCTGCTGGTCTTTTGAAATCTGTTGAGACTTTATCAATCTGACATTTCATAGCAAACTATAGTAAAAATCAATTTATTTCCTGAATTCTGAGAGACACAAACAATTAATGCATTCCAATATATGCCTTTCTGAACACTATTATTTTGTGTTATTATAGGAATGAGCTTGTTTTTAGTTATTGTATTAGTGGTTATTATGTATTTTTGGATTTTTACGTATATATTATTTTGCCTATGCTCTCTGACCCTCTCTGGCTCTTTTCTTTGGACAAAATGATTGCAAATTGAAATATGGTATTTAAAGTCATTTTGTGTTCATTGAAATTTTTATAATTTTTCATAATGTTTAAAACATCTATTAATCTGAGTAGAGGATTCAACATTAGCAGCATGTTTATTAGTGTATCATTTGAATTATAATGTTGCACTAAAACTAAATTTTGATAATGTAGAAAATAAATTAAAAAAGATTAATCACAAAGAAATTTATACAACTTTATGAGTCAATTGAACATATAATTTCCATTCTATTTTTATTTTTATTTTAAGAAATATAACCTATTTTTTAACCCATCATGTTACAAAACCAAGAAAGCTAGTTGTAGGTAATTAAATATAACATCAACCAAGTGAAAACTATAATGTGAACAATCAAACTGATTTTTGAAGTGTTTTATAGAAAAATACTTGGTATATTATGAATCTGAAGAATAAAATGTAAATAAGAAGAATTTTATAACATCCATTAACATTTAAATTATCTTCTGCAATTTTTCAAATATTATACATTACCTCTCAAGTAACCCTAAAATGAACTTGAAGTATGTAGCATAGTATTTCACTTTGCAATCCATTCAGTAAGACTATTGAAGAATAAGCCAGTTTTTAAATTCATTAAGCTTAACCTATACTTGAGTAAATCAGTCAACATCAGAGGTACACAAGCATGAAATGAATTTGAAAACAAATATACCAGAGCTATTTATTCTAAAAAAGTGGGATTGAATTAATATTCAAAAATCTCATGGCTTGTAATAATGTTTTGAAAATTAGAGCAAATGTGAACTGAATGGGTAAAATAAAGTGTATGATGGTTTCAGTCTTGAAATTTACACCATGGACACTCAGTGAGTATGCAGGTTTTATCAAATCATTTGAATTTAAAACTGTATTCATTTAATTCTTAATGGATCCAAGCAAGTAAAAATCAATACAGCTTACAAAATCATAATTATGATTATTTAGAAGATGAAAAATATTTGGGTAACCTGAAATTATTAAATGATTTATAAATTATAGAAATCAAGAAGGATTCAAAAGAAACGTGCTATCTGACACTAGGTGGTGTATATCTTTTGAACTGAAAGTAAATGGAAGGTGAGCTTACTACTAAAACAAACTACAGAAAATAAAATACGTTGACATGTTGACTAGTAAATATCTAATAGCTTTTCAAGAACATAATTATTTTTTCAGTATTGACTTACAAGAAAAACTTTCTCTATTGCTCTTCCTGCTGTCCTTACATTTCCTATCTACCCAAATATGTTTTTAGGCTATATACCAAGGAAAACTTTGAATAATAGCACTAAACATAGATTTCATTCCGAATTTCATTTTATTTAATTTTTGCATATAGTTTTTACTTTTATTAGTATGGTCTTATTTGAAAAAGTTGGTGATGAATGTTAAAAGAAAATCGTTGAATAGTTCACCATTTGACAAAGATGGAAAAAATACCCTAGTCAATAATGCAATTCTCAGATAGAGCACCTACAGCCTGCAATAAATACTGGCTATTATGGAAAACACGCATTACCTATATCTCATTGAATGCTTCTTGAGGATTACCTATTGGACCTGACTTATGGTATGAGCAGTTTGAATTTATATTTATTGGAAAAAAGCTATGGTGCACTTACACTATGTGAGTACTTGGTACCTTGGTTCATGAACTAAATCCTTTCTCTAATTCTGGTCACAAACCAAACTGGATGAGAGGTGAATCAAATTCAATGGTTACTCTCAGTGTTGACCTTATTAGGAAGTTTGAAACAGTCCTCATCCAATTTGGTTTTCAAACAAAATCATGGAAAGAGGTAAATTTGTGAACTGAAGCACCACTCTAATTTGAGAATGATTATCATATACGAGAAAATTAGTTATGGTAACTTATTATCCTCTCTTAAAAAATTAAGGAGGCCATTAAATTGAACTAGAAAACATTGTTGTGCAATGTTTTTTGGTTTAAAGAATATGTATCTATGCATATATTTATGCAGGGTAATACAAGTAGATTTGTAGTTTTTAATGAGACCTAGTAAAAAAAATTTATTCTTAGACTATATTCTTCTGAACCTTTTTTACATATAAGAGATCATTCAAACAAGTCTTACCTGTGAAACAAATATAAAAGTTTAATGCCTATTTGGATATTACCATAATATTGACAACACATCAAAGTGATTTTGTCAGAAACGAAAACGCTATGGACAACAAACATTTCACTTATATTATATACTTGTTTTCAACAGAAGAGTTTAGAAAAGGAAACATTCATTATCTTACATAAGATAGTTTTTAATTCTGGTAAGACAAAGGTCTTACTACATTTTACCTTACTAATTTTTTAAATTTACTAAATGTTTAAACTTATTAAACATTTTAACTTACTAAACCTTTTTCTGGTGTGGGGGATTTAACATTTAAAAGTTTGCATATCAAATGCATAGAATTATATATGCAATGCTTTAAAATATTTTCTATCAATAAAATCATATTGATACATGCTGTCACGTGAGTGTCATTTTTTTGCCTAAAATTCATGCTTACATTTAATACACAACTTGGTGGTTGTATTTGTAATAGGGGCATTTGCAATGTGATGAATTATTAAGGGTACCTCACTCATGAATGGGACTAATCATTTTTTAAAAGTAGCTCCAGAGAGATCATTTGCCTTATTCAGTGAGGAAGGTCAGAGCCAGTAAAAATTCTGTTGTTGTTGGACTAGGAAATTGAACGCTGCCAGACATGGAATTTGTGAGAGTCTTGAAATTGGTCTTCCCATACTCCAGAAGTGTGTGTGTGCATTGGGGGTAGGATTCTGATATTTATTTGCAACACAGTCCGTAGTGTTATAGAAACGAAATGGTCTAAGACAGTGTGTTCATGTTCCACTGTTGCCTCAATTGTATAAAAAGGTGGTACACTGTATTAATCAGTTTTTCTGTTGCTGAACATGCACCCAACATAGACAAGTTAAAGGAGGAGTGAATTGATTTGATTAACAGTTTGGGATAGTTAATCCATAATGTGCTAGCTTCATGGTAGAAGCCATGACAGAGAACAGCTGCTCACTTCATGGCAGCCAAGAAAGTAGAGAAGGAACGGTCAGAGTGGAAGACATGAAGTAACAGACATAGAGTCCAAGACCATGATTCTATGTCCCATCCATACAAACCTAGAGTGTGCTCCAAAGATCCCTTGGGCATAACTCAAAGCCAGTCAAGTTGGCACTACCTCATACCACACCATACATAAAAGGGATTTGGAGAAATTACAATTTAAACTTTGGTGTCACTTTTAACTGCATGCAAATAGGAAATTAATTACCACAGGTCAAAATAAAGCAGATGTTTGATATGTCATGTTGAACAAAGTTATACCCCATATTTCCAAAAGTTGAATCTCCACATCTTATCCATGAAGCTCATCTGGAACAATGTGGCAAGATGTGAAGTTATCTTTAGCACTTACAGACAGAGATGATTTGAAAATTAAATGTCAATAAGGGTGATTTTTTTAAAGTTTTTTTTGGTTATTTTTAGTAAAGGGAAACAAGTTCAAGGATACATGTAACATATATATTTTAATATATTTGAAAAACCTCCATGGCAACCCACTTCTGGGACCACCTTTGTCTCTCAGGAGCTTTCTCTCAGTAACCCTTTCTACTCTTAAAAAAGTGTCTTTTTTTTTTAACAAAGAACTACCATAGCAAAATACAAATAAACTCATAAAATTTAGATCAATTTAAGCAAGTTGTCAATTGAACAAATAAAATAAATTTTGTGAGACTTATTATTAAAATAGTATTTTTTGTTTGTTTATTTTTGGTACTGGGGATTGAACTCAGGTCCTTGTGCTTGCAAGGCAGGCCACAAAACCGCTGAGCTAAATCCCCGGCCCTAAAATAATATTAATAGTAAATCAACTTGCAACACAGTCCACAGTGTTACAGAAAACTAAATGGAATAAGACAGTGTGTTCATGCCCCACAGTTGCCTCAATTGTAAATAAAGGTGGTACACTGTATTAATCAGTTTTTCTGTTGCTGGACAGAAACCATAGGTTTGCTTCATGCTGAAGGGCTATAATGCTAGCACTTGGGAAGCACAAGCAGGAAGATCCCAAGTTTGAGCTCAGCAAGGACAAACAATCAACTTAGTAAGATTCAAATTCAGAATAAGAAAAAAATGAAAAATATGTTGGTGATGTAGCTCAGTGCAAAAGACCTGGACTCTACTCTTGGTATTATATAAGAAAAAAAAAAAAAAGGAAATCACACTTTATATGTATTTACCCCCAAAAGTTATATAAATTTACAGGTTGTTTTCTCTCTATGACAACTTTCTTTTCTATTTGTCACTAAAAATAAACAAATGAAAGAATCTGATAGAGAAATGAAATTCTCACCTCTCCTGGTGGCCAGCCCTGGGGGAGCTGAGGCAGGAGGATTGCTGTGGGTTTAATGCAACTCTGCACTATAATGGTTCAAGCCAATCTGCAATAAACAGTGACAAGCTGTATAAAAAAAAAAAAAAAATTTAAATCAATCCTTGAAACTAAAGTCAAATAGAAATAGGTAATGTTTTGGCTCTCATAAGGTATTAAAAACAGGGATAGTTAATGGGGAGACAACAAGAAAATATCTTTTTTGCTTGTCTTGTATTCATTTATTTGCTTAGGGAATATTTGAGAATTTATTGTTTGATAACTGCCCTACTGAAACCTTGAGGTACACTGTATTGAGAATTGGTTACTACTATTTTCTCACCGGCTCAGAAAGGCAGTAGATAATATTTTGTTTTTGGTTTTTTTGTTGCTTTTTTTTCTTTTTTTTTTTATTGAGGTTATTGGTACAATCTAGTTATACAATACAATTACATTCATCATTGGGATTCTGTACCTTTACATAAAAGGTCTTGATTCTCATTTTTCCCCTTGTCCCTGCCCTCCCTTCATCCCCTCCTCCCCTCCCCATTTACAAACACTTTATTTCCATTTTTTCAGTTTCTCATATTTTTTCCTCTCCCTTATTACCTTTCCCCCACCCTTCCCACTTTCCTTACACCTTTAGTCCTTTACTTCCTATTTCACATTATTAATTATCTCATTAAGATCCTGTGTACTATTATAGTTTTTCACACCACAGAAACTATTCGGTATTTCAGTTAAAGAAATCTCTGTATGAACATTAAAAATAGGGAATCCTAAAATAAAACTAAAAAGGAAAGTAAAAGAGAAAAGGCAATGATGTAACATCAAAATAATCCTTAATTCTGGAGATGAAAATGGTCCCTGAACATATTTAAATTGCTTCTCGCTCTTATAGTCTTATCTTATTCTTTTTTTCACTATTTAGAGAATACTTTATTAGTTTCTGTAATCAAACCCACATAGATAGACCTTACATATTTAGTACAATGTGTTACCCCTGTACAAATGGAAAAATAAAAATAAAAAAATTAACATTTCTAGACCAATATGTTTGTCCATTTCTGTATAATGCCAAGTCAACACAGTAAATTGGGATGACTTTTTCCAAAGTTGGCAGCACTGTTAAAGTTTCCCAAAATTCAATTTTATATATATGTGTGTGTGTGTGTGTATATATATATAGATATATGTATAGACTAATAATAGTATGTTATGCATCGATAGCAGCAACAGCTTTTCCAGGTTCTGCAGTCATCTGAACAAAATTATAGACATTCAGCACATTCCATTAAAAAAAAATAAAATAAAGAAAAGAATAATATCCAGACAACTGCAAAGTGCTGCTGCTATTGTGGTACCTGGCACCATTTTTTCTATTAGCCTCTTAATGATCATCTGGAAAGAGAATATTCTAGAGTAATATCATTAAATGTAGCTCTGCTAAAGCACAGTCCCTACTATGTATCATAAAGCAGGTACTAGATATTTTACATTCATAGAGGTATGATACAGTACTGTCCTACATCAATAATACTAGATTCAGGATTCAGTTT